GAATGTATGTAAATAACGTCCGACGGTGAACCACTCAATAATTCAAACCTATAAAAGTGTAAAGCCACGACGACAGTAGAAATTTTAGTCAATTTCTCGTTTGGCACAATTGAATTTGTACGAGAAATCGGGTTTCTGCGCACGGCCCGAAGACTTCCGAACGACAGCGACGCAAGCCATAAGAGATACTCCGCTCCTTTGATAAATCATTCCGTACTCGTGTCAAAGGCAATCGTGCTTGCATTTTGACTTGGAATAAGCAAAAGCTGTAATTAGATTTACGACCATCGTTATATAAATAAATATATATTAGACAGCATCACATACATTCTGAAAATCCTCATATAAGGAGCTTAAGTGTTTGGATTATAAAAATATGAAACACTAAGCGTATTTTAAAGTCATCTAAGAATATATGCGAAAAAAAACAGTGTGTTTATGATTTAAAAATCATTGTGATGATTTTCAGACGTTATTTACTAAACTAGTCGCTCAAATATCTAAATATATATAACTCAAAGGTGACTGACTGACATAGTGATCTATCAACGCACAGCCCAAACCACTGGACGGATCGGACTGAAATTTGGCATGCAGGAAGACGTTATGACGTAGGCATCCGCTTAGAAAGGATTTTGATCAATTCTACCCCCAAGGGGATAAAATAGGGGATGAAAGTTTGTATGAAACTTTGTCAATTTTAAACCGATCGGGCTGAGACTTTGCATGCATAAAGCTACTATGACGTAGGCATACCCTAAGTAAGGATTTTGATAAATTCTACCACTAAGGGGATCAAATAGGGAATGAAATTTTATTTTAGGTATTTTACACAATATATTGAATAAATATTTGAAATGAAATGAAAATATCTTTATTCAAGTAAGCTTGAATAAAGATATTTTCATTTCATTAGACATTCCTGTTCTTTAGAAATGCTGCTCAAAGTAACTTTACCACGCGGACGAAGTCGCGGGCAAAAGCTAGTTACTAATAAGATTACATAAGCAATCGTTACAATCAGCGCATTGGTTGTCAATTTTACAGATTCTAACTGACTCGTACTGTATCGTATATTCAAACTATTCAATTTGAAATCGTTTAGGATTTCAAATTGAACTATTTCAAAACTTACTGGGCAAAAAGAAGATACTTTGATTAAACTTGATTTATTTATTTTATACTTAGATATTTTTAAATTCAGACTGGGAAGAGTGTCCTTTTCAGCTTTGTTCTGTTGAATGCCAACCTAACGTTATCAATATGACCAACGCCAATTAAGGTGTCGCTATTTATGTGACGAGTACTATAATGTATCTAGCGAGCGAATTTAATGATATTTTATAAAACAACTGTTATTCATTTAGAAAACAAAAACTATGGATAACGTTATATATACAACGTGTCCCAAAATTCAACGATAAGCGGGCGCCAAGAGGTACCCTTGCTCATGTGTACTTATTTAAAAATAAGAAAAAAATTATATCTTATCTTTCTTATTATAAAATTAAATTCGAAAATCTTCGAAAATTTACACCTTTTATGATATTTTCAACTACCACGACCACAACTTCTCAATTATGTTCAATCTTTTTTTGGTATCGGATACCTAAGTAGCACTACTATTCGCTACAACTCTTTCGAAAATTTTCGAATTTTATTTTATAATAAAAAAGATTAATAAGATATAATTTTTTTCTTATTTTTCCATAAGTACACATGAGCAGGTCTACCTCTTGGCGCCCGCTTATCGTTGATTGATATCAATTGATATAATATACTAAACTCACTACCAGGTAAAGTACCTTTAACTCAAGATTTTCAAGCGTCTCATTAAAATCTCTGGAAATAAAGAATCGAGAGAATATTTACCTGGTTAGTAAATAGTTGTAGGTTGAAGTTCTGCGTGTATGTAATTATAAAGATACCATGGCAGTAGATCTTTTCTCTATTTTGCCATAAAATAAATATCACAATATAGGAAATTGGTATAGTCAAGATGCATTTCAACAAATCAATATGAAGTAAGAGTATAAGTATTTGTAAACACAATCGCTCAACGCTGACGTCTTAAACCACAACAAAAAGTTTTGTCTTCGTTTCCAAGCCGCGACTTCGTATCACTTTGGAAGTTAGTTCTTTGAGAAGGACCTTCCCTCTTTTGCGGTCAAAAGCCAATCATTGCCAACATTATAATAATGGCTTAATATTACCCTTCATGAAGTTACCTAACATATATATCAGAGGTCTTTACGTAATTTGTTATATGATACGTATTGTTGTTTAAAATAATGACTTAATGATAATACATAGATGAGCACAAGTCTCCCTACTTTTTAGGTAATAGTAAATATATATTAGGTACTAAAAATTATTTGATTTACTATCACTTACGTGTAAACGCAACTTAAGGGTATTTAACCCCTATTTTCAATTTTTTAACAAGTGTTACAGCGGAGGCGAAGGATGATTATGAAGGCGTTCAAAATAACCCGCTGTATTATCATTAATCTCTTAACCAAGCATACCATTTATTCAGAATCATTCAACAATAACACTGTTCTAACCAACAGCATTGAATCTTTGAAGGTTGAGTTAAATGAGCGCGACCAAAAGTTGCGTAATGATGTGGAGATTATCTGCATACCAGAGCACGAAAGAGCCACCAGCATATTGTAGTGACTTTGGCGAGCAAACTTGGAGTTCAACTAGGACAACGAGATATAGACGTTGGTCTCCAAGTACTGGCCCCATCGTTATCCGTCTAGTGCAACGTGCTGTGTGGGAGGAGCTTTCTATATGCAGACTAGTACGAGGGCTATTATCTCCTTTTCATTCGTTTTATATCAATGAGCATGTAAAACGATTGAAAAGGAGATCAAAGCCCTTGTACTAGTCTTCTATTCTGTCAGACGCGAGGGATCGGCAAGCGGCTCGGATGACGTTTTATCTGGACCCGAGATGAAAAGTTATTTGGTAGACAGCACGCTGGTCAGGGTGTTCCACGTCAGCGGCTGTGAACCCAGTGAACCCAGACGGATCTCGTCAGGGTTTTTGGCCTAGAAGCCATTGGTTTTACAGAGGCCTAAAAGAGCAATTATTATCATTTGTACACTTTGTTGTTCCGTTTTATTAACTTAGCCCAAAATGGGTGATGACTAAAAATCGGCACTTCATCTGTACCTGGGTGATTTAGATGCACCGAGCCTTGACACTTTTCTAAGTGCTACAAACAGTTAGAAAAGTATCATAATTAATAACTTGTTTGTTTTAGCTTTTTTGTATGATTCGAAACTTTTATAATTGTGTATAGTTATTAATAATAAACTTTAAAATAATATTCTCCTTCAAACAGTTCATCTTCCATGTTAATATTAAAAGCATCGTCAAAAAACCACAGACAATCCAACGTTCCTTTTCATATCATCTCAGATAATTAGCCTTAATTAATTTGGTAGCAAAACAAAATTTATCTCTACGTATTCTCCCAAAGTATTTATTCATTCCTTAATATCGTCTACGTGATCTGTTAATTAAGTTTCTAGGTTCTTCGCCTAGAGTGGCTGTGATAAATGTTCCAGCGCGATTTACAAGAAGCTTATTAACTGCTAGATTAATGATAGCTATGTGTACGTACTTGCATAAACATATATTATCATCTGTGACCGCAGAACTTTTGGAAGTTGAATCATTTGAAATATCAATTTACTCTTTTAAATTGATAACTTTAATTAATAACATTCGTTTAATATAAAAAAAAAATGTAATAGTTATCTTTCTATTTTTTCATCGAGAATATTAAACCAAAAACATGCCTATTGTGAAAGAAAATTATTAAAGTAGCTAACCGCTTTATTAGACGTAAAATTTTAGATTTGAGTTAGAAACTTATGTTTGCTTCTTGGTATTCGCGCAAAATAAGATATAAGCGAAAAGTATTATTATGGTAAAATTAGAAAGAATATATTTTTATAAGATTCACCGGCAAATTGTTTAGCCTATCTCGTTGGGACGAAAATAAATATGTTACCTTAACAATAATCCAGTAATAATTATATTATATTCGAAACTACAATTACTATTTTTCACGCTCTAATTCAGAATTGACCTAGAATATACAATTTCTCATTTCTCAGAATGTTATAGTATATCGATTGAAGCCCCCAGTCCACAGATTTAGACTAACGACTCAGTCTGTCTCTTAATGGAGGTTCTATTGCTGATAAGTGATAACACATGCCGTGATATATCAAGTCGAGACGTAATTTATTTTGTACTTTGGCTATCTGCTGGCTTCCCGATACCATCGATAATGATGCGAACTTCACTATAAATAATGTCATTCAGCAACGTAACGAACAGTGAAATGCTATTTCAATAAGCTTCACGTATATCAAATTACTTTGGCGCAGCGACTAGTGCGTTTGGTCTATGACTGCGGTTATTAAGTAACTTTTGCTAAATGCCAGACAACTGGTGGGTGATTGTATGTGGGTACATGCAAACATACAAACATGCCTGTGTCCTCAGTGGATGAAGAATAATAGACTGATGATTATGAAAAAACAAAGTCCTTAAATTCTTTCTAAATAAATAATATTTTCATTTTCCACATAATTTATTATTACTACTAATATTTGTTTAGACCAGTGGCCAATTTGTATGGACTACCTGCGCTCCAAGTCCCATGGGGTTCTGCTAAAAGTCAACGTTGTTGCACATTTTGCTAAGCTCATACTGAGCACACATTTACAAAAAGTTTTTGTACAATATTTTACTGTGGCATCATATACCAAGTAATAGATTTCTTTTGTGAGTTTTCGTTTTATTTACAAGGGGAAATATTTATCTAGTTAATTAACTATTTCTATTCATGCAATGGAGTTAAAGATTTTAAGTATGTACAATTTAAATTTAATATGGTCTTTTAAACATTGGTACGTCCTATCAATTTGTTTTAAACTCAGTTGTTTAACTATATACCACAATCGTTGTTATCTAATTTCTGGAAAACTACAGCAGTTTTTTAGATTCTTATATAAATGGATTTGTATCTTTAATTCAAATATTTTGTTAGATACTAGATGGCCAAGATATTGATAACGTACTTTTTTTTTGAAATCCAAAATAAAAATATCCATTTCGGTATTAATAATTGTCTGATTTCAGAAATAGTAATGACTTATTCTGGAATGCAAGGTGTTAATTATATATAATAATTCAGTCATATATTTTCTTTCAGGAGGTAAATGGGAGTGAGTTGGCAGTGGATTCTATTCCCGCGTGAAAAGTGTCTCGACTGGTGATGCCCCACCGCTGGGACCATGGGCGGCAGACGGGGGCCCTGCAAGAGCTTCGCCATCAACGTCATCCAAATCATAACCATCATATGTCAAGGTTAATTTTTATCAATAATATGCCTAGAATTATATTAAAGGTAAAGATCAAAAGAGCAAAGTACAGCTTAATTACATACCGATCGAGCTCAAATCTTGCATACTAATTGTTATTATAACGTAAAGGTTTGCTAAGAAAAATTTAATTTCTAAAGGCTTATGGGGCAACGAAGTGGCCATTTTTACACAGTTAGTTTTAGAGCTAGTCTTGGCTACCTTGAGAGTTGCGACAAAGTAAACTTAGATACTAACAAACTAACTAACAGACCGAATGATTTGAAATTTCATTCACATAAATGAGTTGTTGATCACACAAACCGACGTGTAACATGGAGCTAGGGTTAGGTAGGCGGCTCCAATTTTCCGCACTTACATAAACACTCTAATCGGTCCATTGAGCGTGAAAAGTTGACTATCTTACTCCAATTAACCCAACTCCGTCCAGAAGCACAGAAGTTTTTTGGAGTTTTCTCAAATTTCACGGAATGTTGAAGGGTTGCCTAGTATGTGTCCTCGGTGTGCTACCAGGCTCTCGGATTAAAAATAACGTGAGCGATGGTTTCTTTTGTTGACATACATGTCCTGCAGAAAATGCTGTCAGTGATACCTATAGTGTGGAGTGAGTAGTGTCCAGTTATGGTATCCACGATCGTGTGAAGATCCTTCCGGCTTATACGGAGCAGTGACCTGCCAAGTTTTGGTTTGGGTTGCGGTAGGGCTTCTCTTGATTGTCAGAATTTAACCGCTTACGCTTATCGTTGTGCGCGACCTTAATCATGCGCTTACCTGTAAGTAAGGTAGTGGTTCCATAGATGAGGCTCCTATTGGTGGTGAGCTGGGCTTCTTGCAAGCAAGTTCGTCTGCAGCATCATTTTATCCACTGTAGGATTACCTAGTTTGTAACGGAGCTAGGGTTAAGCGAGTATATTTTAACAATTAAGACAAATAATTTTACAAACTATATGAAATACATATAGGATGAAAGTTTCCGATCAAATTTAAGAAAAAAGGTTCTGAAGTAACAAGTCTTTAAAAATTTATACAGTACTCGCGTTATGCAGGTCCAAATTTCTGCTGCTAAGTGATATCCGAAATTAAATTTAAGAGATACTCAATTGGGGCCTCTTTAAACTTTTAACTTCCACCAAAAGTTAATTAATTAATTTAATTAGTTAATTAATTAACAACAAACCAGTTAATTTCCCACTCAAATTGAAATCACCTCCTTTTATCAGTGCAAACATTTCCATTCCAAGCCTGGTGTTGGCATCTAAAGTTGACACTATTTACTCTTTATTTTAAAAAGCTACGAAGAAGACACTTAAGCTTTGATTAGGTATGGCTTAATTGTTAATTACCCACTAGAAACTCGACTTGCCAAATTTTCATTTTAAATTAAAATACTTTCATAGATAAATTATATCACTGCTGGTGGTCAGGCATTCCCTGTGAATGGAATCGAATAGGAGGGATGACGCACCATGCGGGCCCGTTGTTAAATCTCGGTAAAGCCTATCTCCGGAAGTATGAAGTAGCTCGAAATAATATTTTTGGTCACCCATCCCATTACCAGCCCTTGATAAAGTTGATTCACTTCCGCATCGACAATCGAAAGCGTTAAGCGCTTCGCCATTGAGGTCCTTCTTATAGATAAATAATCAGTTTAAATAATTATTTTGCTAAAACTTGATCATTGTAGGCATTCAAAATCAGACATGAAACTGTTAATATGATAAGTTAGCGAAATTACAAGCAAACTTTTCAAATAAAACTGATTTGAAAGGGCACGCCATTAATGAAAATAATATTTCAGATCCAAGTTCATTAATTAAATCGCGTCCCATATTGTATCGTGTTACACATAACAATTGGTAAGTAAAGTTATTTCCAATAAATGTAGTTTATTGGAAATAACTAAACAAGTATTACAAATATAAAAGTTTAATTTATGATCAGGAGTGCGACCGCCTAAGTCTCTAGCCATGACTCTAACCATAGATTACGATATGCTAGACAATATTTAATTTAATTTTACTACTTTAACATGTACTTTATTAACGATGAACCAAAGATAAAGAATGATTATTGTAGACTGACAGCAACGTTACCAAATTAGTATTTTTATCCCAAGACACACCAAACGGTATGTGGAAGAAGTAAGACGAACCGAAATATCCCCGTAACGTCGATAAGATATCGTATCCTATGGCTTGATACATGATTAAAGGGTTAGGCGAGCTTTGTTAAGTTGGTTCACGTAAAAAAAATGCCATTTTATTATTTTATAATTATTTCTTGGGTTAAAAATAATTTAATAACGTAAGCTCGACGAAAAAAAAAATAATTGACTTGTAAAAAATCGTATATCAGCCACTTAAGCCTTTTGCTCCTCTTTTAAAGTCGGTAGAACTTTAATAGTTTTTATTTGCAACCTGTAATAGATTACAGGTATAAAAGTTTAATGTAAATCTATATTATATTATAGATAATATAATATAGATTTACATAAATTAAATTTAGCGCCTTTACAACGAAATTACACACAAAGTCAAGATTAAAATATCTTTATACAAAATATTTTTGAATTGTCCAACATTGTTTTACCTACCACTCGTTCAAAACGTCTTTTAGCTGATAAGAAAAACGAGTAAAAGGAACTCACCAGTTCCAATTGAAGTAATGATATTCACAAAAATCGTATCATCACCTAATCCATATGAATGAAAAAAAATATACAACAACTAACTATGTAACATACAACTGTCTTCGTGAAGTCACTTTCCATTACAATACTTAACACACAATATCCAATAGATGTAGTAGCTGGATAACCAAGCTTTGCTCGTTTTTGTTATATCAAGTTATTCATTAATTATATAGTGCTAATGAAATATGAATCCCATAAAAACATAACATGCACAAAAATGCTCAAATTTTACTGACAACGCAATTCTTCTGCCGTAAATGTTATGAAATCAACGTAAACCAAGTCGATTAATTCAGTACTTATCTTTCTTCGAGAGCAGCTATCCAACCTTGTCATAGACTAAGGAATACTTAACAAACGCACAGATACGTTAAATAAATGCTCGACCATCTGCTAGAAGTACCTTAGAATTTTTATGATCTATGAGTCAGTCGGTGACAAAATTAAGGTAATTTCAATTGCAATAATTTTTAAAGTACTCGTTCATATTTAATGTCATTTGGAAATGTGCCTCATTATGTGATGCCCTATTGGTCACAGAAAATTTAGGTTTCTAGTTTACTCCACAACGAAGTTACAGGAGGTCAAAAATGGCCCAAATGGCTTCGAGAAAAGAATGGTACGGCCGTACCATTTTACTTTTTTGCTCGACTTGGCGGGGTTATTTACGAGCCCCCATATAATATTTTTTAATTTTGTGACATTTTGAGGCTTTTGATCAAAGAACCGTGACAAGTGGTTTTGGCAGTCTTCGCGTGATGTTAACCTGACACTGTCTAAAGAATTCTGAAGAGAACAAAACAGGTTTGACAAACAAAATTTGATAATGCAAGGAAAGGACTATGCGGTGAACGCATCAATACGTCCCAGCCAATCTTTCTTAATTTTTGCCTAATTTTTTTAATAAGTGGCAAAATAAGTGACATGTGTGAGATCTAGCGCTTTCATGATGAAAAACTACAACCCTTCTATTGATTAATTCTAGCCTTAAAATTTAAATGATACAGAAACTAGCCAGATACAAATGGTACAGCCAGATTTTATTATAAGTTTATGCATACTTTATGCAAAGAGACTTTTTCCCCAACTTAATATTAAAAACCTGCCAAGTGCGAGGTGGACTCGCGCACGAAGGATTCCGTTCCATTATTTAAAAAAAAGTAAAAAGAATACTTTTGTGTGTTCTACATTTGTTTTTTTCTATGGAATTGTTCGAAATGTTTCCAGTTAAATACAATTGGTCGACTATTACTCGTAAACTTCCGATAATTTTCCTTTTAACTTCTTTAGTAACTTCTTTATTAACTTGGCTTATGATATCCCAACAAGTAATGTAATGTAATGTATATATTAATTCGTTATGTGCGTCCGCCTCTTTAACTTTAAGTTTTTACTAAATTTACTGGTTGACTGGTAGAGAAAGCCTGTTTGGCATTAAGTCCGCCAATTATCTATTTCATTAGGCAAATAAGATTAAATATATATATAGGTAACTGTTGTAACGTTTGAATCTTTATAAACGACGGGGGGGACCACCCCCCCCTTCTCTAACGAAAATTAGCTCTTTAAAGCTTAATAAGTCACAAAGGGTTTACCATTGATAATATTATTATCAACACGGCTATTCTATAATGAGGTTGAATTGGTAACCTGATTTTTTTTTATTGGCTAACTAACGTGTTTTAGTCATAATTTCTTAAGGTCAAAATCACACTATGCACATGCATTATTATGGCTAACAAACACTTGTATTATCCTACTAGATGAAAATTTATTTAAGGTGTTAAAATATTTCACGGATCTCGTAAACAATGGGATTCTTCATTCCAGTGAAGTGGAGGCCATTTACCAAAGTGTTGGAAACATATAGACGATTTATCGACATTAATAAAATAAAATATAATAATACAAACAAAATATAACAATCAATAAAGTAAATACATTAGTTATCTTTTATTTTCCATCAATTTGCTACCTTTCGATTCAAACACCATGTTTCCTATACAGCATATCATTTCTTTATTCTAGTAGGCAAAGGCGCGAAAAAAATACTTAGCAGCTAACATACAACGCGCGGTCAATTAGTATATTAGCAGCAGGGTGTGGTAAATTTTCATTTTATAATCAACATTGGTGGTATAATAGAAATTATCGACAACATATCAATTCACAACACTACTTTATGAAACCCGCTCAGCAACAATGATTGATGTTAAAAAATTTGAAGCACATCGTTAATTTTGTATATTAAAAATTTTATCAGAAGCAACGATCGCGTCTATTATTTTTTTGTCTAAAAACTTTCTAAGGAATTTTAAATAACATAAAATGAATATATAAAAAAAATACTTTTAACATATTTATAATCCCTTTTACATTATAAATATGCTAAAATTAATCGCTCCTTAGATATCACAATATAAATACCAAATTCTTAGAATTTATCATTGAAACATATTACCATAGTCTTGTTGACGGAGGATATATTGTAATACTTTACTTCAAGAACAGCTTTATTAAAATTCTTTTCTGTCTTATAAAGTCACGCAAAGGTAAGCCTTCATATGTTTCTTTGTAAGTCATACTAGTCGTTATAAATATGTATCTATAAATAAGAATGAGGTGAAATCGTCAGTGGGATAAATAGGATAAATAAAAAATAATAATGTTGTGAAATTGTATATACTTGAATTATTAATGAGGCAACTTCGTATGTTTAAGGCTTCGAAAGAAAAAATGGGTCACATATGAGCTCACTAGTGTATCATAGCTGATTATCTACAAAGTATTGGAACTATTCAGTTGAAATTGAAATTTGAGTTGAAATTTGGTACTATGGTCTTAAATTAAATCCCATTCACACATATCATACCTCTATGATAGATAAGCACCGACCGCCTCCTCGGGCAAAGCGTCTTCAAAATTCATTTTACTGATTATCTTAAAATCATTTTAAAATATTGAAATACTGTGAGACTTGGTGGGTGTTATACAGAGCTTCTTACCTTCATACAAATTACAATTCGGACGGAAATTTTTCACCCTTTATTGTGCCAACTTTAGTAAACAACATCTATCTTTATTATGATATCTATTAGAATTAGATTGTATAAAACAGGTATTAACGCGATAGATTGATAGTTAGTTTTTTCACCCACCTACAGTTATGTCGGTGTAACTCGGTCTATCGCATTAATACCCGTTTTCTAGAATCTAATATTAGTTAAAAAAAACTATTAGTATGCCAAATTTCATCTTGATCCGTCAGTCAATCAGTCACCTTTGACTCATAATGATTGAACGATAGCAAATGGCGATATAGTCCAGTGGAACAAATAAATAAACAAATGATGGTCATTAACTAGACTACTGATTGTATTGTTCATTTTGTATTTATCTAATAAGATGGGATTTACCAGCACATTATTTAATTTAATGGTCATGACTAGTGTTGCCATGTCCAATTTATTATTAATCGGGACAGCTCGTGTAATTAATCGGGATTTGGGGTTGTTAATCGGGACAGACAAAAAAACAAGTATTGGTAGCTTTTTAGCTTTCAGACATAGATAAATATAGTTAGGGGCTTTCAAAAATGGATTTGACAGTATGAAAAAAAAATTTTTTTTTTTTAAATAAAAATACTTGATTTTTCGGGACACTTAGCGTCCCGATTATGTACAAATCGGGACGCGTCCCCGAACCCCTGAAAATCGGGACACCTGGCAACACTAGTCATGACATATATTGATATATATTTTCTTATTTTGTGACTAAGTGACAAGAACTGTGTTAAAAAAAAAAGATGTGATTGGTTTCAAAGGCTATGCGCGCACTGGTGATTTTTTGTCATTGCGATTTATTATTTCTGTCACCATGCCCTCGTCCGTTCTATGGAAAAGACTTAATTGTCACGTGCTCAAGTGAGTACGGTTGCGCACTCACTTGAACTTGAAGGATAGGAGACTAACAGTGAGGATGATAAAAAGTCACCAATTTAATGTCTTTGATATGTCATAATACATTCGCACACAATTCACGGCATAAGCAGGTATACTACGAGACAAGCAATTCGGTACTGGAACACTCGATGAGTTGTGTCAACACAACTATTCACTCTCGCTCACTCCTTCTTAACAATAAACTTATTGAGTATTGAGTATTGAAGCTAGAAGGCAGCGCGCCTACGCGCACTCGTACTATGTCACAATTGAAGTTCCAAATAACTTGGCTAGTTGTATACTCGTATATAGAAGCTTTTGCATAAAAGATATTTTGTAAACATAACAGCACGTGTAGAGACGTAATTTGTGCGCAGTGGGAAAAAGCAAACAAGAGCAGTCCCAATTAATTTAGTAATTTCAGAGTTTCAACAGAAATAACGCACTCATGCCTTACATGACTACTGGGAACATTATAAAAAATACAAACAAATATAGTTTTACGTGCTATTAAATAGATGACATTCACATAGTTTGTATTAAGACTTCGCCTGTGTTTGTCCACAGTACTAACAGAGGAACCACGATTCGCTGAACCGATCCCCAACGTGACGGTGGCACTGGGGAGAGATGCCAGCCTCCCGTGCGTTGTTGAACACCTTGGCACCTATAAGGTAAGTAAACAAAATCAATATTGAACTGTAATTATTATGCTATTATTTTTTATACAAAAAAATGCTAATTTTTAATTAAAATTAAACTGTAATCAGACGGTGAATCGGAATTATTTGTCGGGTTACAAACAGTCAAAAAGGGCCGATAAAATAATTAAAATTTACCGTTTATAATAAATAATTTAATATTCTAAAATGATTTGATTATGCTTAAAATTTATTAACCCGGAAAGAATTCCTTACTATAAAAGGAACGATATTCCAGTAGAAATAGTAATATGCAGTTATTTTTGCCTTACTAACATACTATAATCAATCAGCATGTTATTCTAAAAATAATTTTAATGTTGGGTATGTAATTTTTTAGAATTGTATATTTATGTTTATCTTCACGCCGGGTCCCCATGCAGGATATGCATAGAAGACCGTGCGCCACTATTGCATAATATTCAAATACTTATAATATTTATCAATCAATTTAAATGTTTGGGTATTTCATGTATACTCTACCCAAACAATTAAAATTAAAATTACAACATTTAGTGTATGGTGCATAGTACTGTGTTCTCCTCATCTGGTGTCCATGGAAGATCAGCGTCGAGGTATCTTAATGATATCTCAGCACTATGCTGAATGGATTAATGGTTATTTGTGCATTGTGTGGTTGCTAAATAAATGAATTATTCTTATTATTAAATATGTTATTTTAGTGGAGGCTTTTGATCAAGTTTACCAAACTGGGGTTTCTTAAAAAACTAACATTTGTTCATGGTATGGTAATTTTTATGAGACATTTATCCCTAAAGAGAGAATTGGAAACTCTGTTTGACAACAACCTCAGCTTTGTCATCCCCTATTTGTGCCATGTCCGTTAATAATATGAACGTATCCGATAAGTATTAGTGAATATGCATTTTAGTATTTTAAGACGTCTAACATTCTTATCATATATTACAAAGAATCCGAAATGAAAATTTTATAACATAACATCCGTTCAAAATCACTATAAGGTTAATCTAAAAATTAACAATAAAACTTGTAGATGTAAACTGAAACCCAAAAGATTAAAGTTCCAAATTGAAAAGTCAGAAATCAGAGAGTCAGAATCGACTTTGCTCAATGATAGTGACCTTATAAACTGAGGTGCACTCAACTCGACTACTGAAGTTGTCATTAGGAGAATTGAAAAACAGTTATTCTTCTTTTGCCACTACATAATAAGGTTTCTTTTCAAGAGAATCAATCAAACGAAAGATATCTATCGGCGGAGCTGGGAGCGCCCGTCCAAAGGGTCCCCGGGGAAATCTGTTAGCTTGGAGAGCAGAATAACTGATCAGATGAAAGTGCACGCAAATTAAGGAACAGTTCTCACTTTATAATGCATTTGGTATCAAAATTCATTTATTCACATACGATTTCGTATTAAATAACTACAATTAAATTTATCTGTAAACATAAACTTAGTATCATATTTTAAAAGTTTTGGTTCGAATACTATTTAGGGAGACTATCTCATTTAGTTTTATTTAGTATAGTGTCGTAATGATCATCATTAATTGTTATTTGTAATTTTGTTATCTGTAATAATAATTAATTGTTATTACAGATAACAAAACAAAAGTTGTATTTAACGTAACAATAAAGGTTGAAAGTTTAAACATCTCTCGTACACAAAAACGGTTACGTTTGAAAAACAACAACTGGAAAATATGTTCAAAAGATAACCGAGGCTATCTGTGTGATATATTTCAATTGGTCCCCACGAAAGTGACTCGTTTGCCCCCAAAGTTGCAACCAATTAACTTATTCATGAACGTTCCGTGAGCGTCCGACTTAAATATATGGTGATTTAAAACATAGTTTTTTTTAACTGTAATAATATCACCACATGCGATGATATTATAATTTTTGAAATTTATGTATTAGATATTATCAAAAACAACCTACCACTTGAGCACAGACCTTCTCTATAGATGGAGTCATAAACACCTAACTTATCACTCAAAAGATTGGATTTGTTTCTTCCCAGAATTCATAAACAATTACATAAAATTAATCAAAGACTTAACAAGTATAAATTACCTGACACTTGGTAGTGAAGATTAATTAAATATATTGATAATCACTGTTGATAGGTAATCTTGTGTTGCTTTAAGCTCTATCCTAGCCTTTAATTAAAATAACTTCAAGCCAGATCAAGCTTGAGTGGAAGAATTGACAAGGGGCACGATCCTTACATACTTTTTTGCTTCCTTGACATTCATACACTTTTTCGCCAGTTTTATGGCTTATTATATCATCTTCCGATAGCACGTCTTCTACATATTTCCATTTCACGTTTTATATGAGTTTTATAATTCTTTTAACAAACGTGTTTATTTTTATGCTGACTCTATCTTACAGGTCGTCTCTTTTTTACCTATCCATTACGAATGCAGTCTACTCACAGATTACAAAAGGGAACTACTCATCTCTCAAAGGCAGAGCTTACAAAAATATCGGTAATTTTTTTTAATTGAACTCGAAGCGGTGTTTTTTCTAGCGATATAGTAAGTTCCAAGCAACAATGGATGCAGAGCTTCATAAATCGGCTATTAGAATTCCAAACTTTTTCAATATCGTGTCTAACGATAGCTTATCATTAACATAAAGTAGCGCGTCAGTGCGAATATGAACAGATAAGACAAAATCTATGAATGAAATTAACCGGTAATTTCAGAAATGCTTTTTGATATATGATAAGAATAAAAAAAAATAACTGAAAACGTTTTCAAAAAATTTGTTACGAGCTGGTTAATGATATTAGTCAGTTTCTGAGTACTGCCTGCCCATTCACCACACAAGTTTATTTTAGATTCATGCGATTTCTAACACTTTTTAGTACGATAATTTTGCACTTCATGAAACGAAAATATAAATTACTAATACAAAACCAATATAACGAGACAGAACTCTAAAAAGTTTTTATACACTGCACATGTGTGCACATTATTAACCTTAGAAGCCTAATCTATCTGAGAGTTACGCTTTGTGTTATATTGATTACACATACGGTTCAGAGGCGTTCATAGGACATTACAATCTGAAAACTATACACTACTGTTGTCAAAATTTTTAAAGATTAATATGTAAAGTAGGACTATTAATTTATCATAAAACACAGTTGAATATTACAATAAAATAACAAGTACAACCATTATAAAATTACTTTTCAGAAAAAATCAACTTAGTGTTTATTTTTTTCCACTCACTTCATTCAACTCACTGTGACTTTAAAATAATATTATATAATCGGACTTTGAATCACTAATTATCATTTTTCATCCAAATTAAATAAAATATAAATGCCCAATCATACGTCTCGCAAGCGTACATACCTCCATGAGTAAAAATGACTGGATTTATTTTAGTTCTCGGCAAGCTCATGAGTTAGTTAAACAGCATGAAGCGCTAATTTCATCCGTTCTATTTCGTATACTCCTTGTAGACGTAGATTAGACCTCTAGGGTTAAACAATCTTTGAGATGATGCGCTGGTGTTATAAAGCAATCTAAAGCACACCATTATAGATCCCCGTTCGTTCGCAACAATTGTGGATCCCCTGAATATTTCAATCGTTCGTCTCTCTCCCTCAGTAAACAGTTGCAACGAATCAATTAACTTATTCATGACTACGCCTAACATTGATTAGGTCTGCAAAAGCCTCTACCTCAGTTAGCATATTATATTTGTCCACTGTGATATTATATAGGTTATTGAATCTATGACAGTATTATATTGTCCAATTCCAAATATTTGCGTTATTATAAAATTAGCATTATGCAATATGTTTATTTTAATACACATCTATCTTATTTGTTGTTTGTAATATGTACCTGAAATTAAAAAATAAATAAACAAAGATCTTATATAAAGATAATTTGACGGTGTAAAAATATATATCGATGGAAATTCGTTGAATAGCTTCAAAGGTTATAGAGACATTTGGGTAGCTTAACTGGAGGAGCGAGCACTTGGTTCGAAACTCGTCTTGAAACATCAGATACGGTTAATTCACTGAACTATATTTTTCACGGTAAGGATCAATGTTATTGTCAATATAGAATAAAATTTTACTTTTTTGTTTCTTTCCTAGTGTACTTTACCTCATATTGATTGTACGATAGTAAATAATTGCCTTATTTTACGTGTTTGAGACAAAATATAGGAAAGAAACAAAAAAGTAAAATTTTATTCTATATTGACAATAACGTCAATATAGAATAAAATTTTACTTTTTTGTTTCTTTCCTAGTGTACTTTACCTCATATTGATTGTACGATAGTAAAATAATTGCCTTATTTTACGTGTTTGAGACAAAATATAGGAAAGAAACAAAAAAGTAAAATTTTATTCTATATTGACAATAACGTCAATATAGAATAAAATTTTACTTTTTTGTTTCTTTCCTAGTGTACTTTACCTCATATTGATTGTACGATAGTAAAATAATTGCCTTATTTTACGTGTTTGAGACAAAATATAGGAAAGAAACAAAAAAGTAAAATTTTATTCTATATTGACAATAACGTCAATATAGAATAAAATTTTACTTTTTTGTTTCTTTCCTAGTGTACTTTACCTCATATTGATTGTACGATAGTAAAATAATTGCCTTATTTTACGTGTTTGAGACAAAATATAGGAAAGAAACAAAAAAGTAAAATTTTATTCTATATTGACAATAACGTCAATATAGAATAAAATTTTACTTTTTGTTTCTTTCCTAGTGTACTTTACCTCATATTGATTGTACGATAGTAAAATAATTGCCTTATTTTACGTGTTTGAGACAAAATATATTTTTTTAAATAAATTGGCAACTAAGGCAAATGAAACCCTGTCGTATTGAAATTTTATGTGTTGTGGATTTTATAGAGGGCAGTATTGAATACAAGTGTCGGATTTTTGAATCGATATTTTGAACTCCGTAATAGGAATAACCATACAAACTAATATAATGTAGGTTGAATTTAAGTGGAGTATTTAATAGTTGAATTTTAGCTCGAGGGCATAGTGGAGAAGCATCGTGACCTGCGATCGTTGTTAAGCAATATTCGCAAGAATCGGTCACAGGATGGATGACCAAAAATGACGAGCTACTCCGTACTTCGGAAGGCACGTTAAGCCCTTGGTGTCGGCTGCTGACGTTTGTTAATACCGTCGGGACAGCGTGGAGAATCATAGCCCACCCTCCTTAACCATCCATAAGGAAGGCCTGAGCCCCTGCAGTGAAGACTTAAAAAGGGCTGATGATAACATTATTGGTTTTAGCACTCTGTGTTACACTTTACACTCTAACTTTCAATTCGAATATAATTTTAAAGAAAAATAATTTGAGGTCACCGATTCAATGTATTTACTTTTTTCTTTCGTTAGCCAGAAACCACACACTGACACTTTATTACCAATGTCCAAAAATAACGTTCGGCGTTCCACAAATTGGTACCTATGTGATTTAACAGAAACAACACCTTCTTTCGGTTTGAGATCTTTCAAAAAGAGATCTTTTTTGGCCATAATACAATATGTGCATTCTGTTGAATCGAGATCGCCACTTACACAATGATGTAAACACCACCTTATAGTTTCATTTTCTAAATATTCTTATTCAAGAATATTTTACGTTTCAATAAAGGTACCTATTGGCTTTTTGGTGACAGTTATAGAATAAAAAAAGCTTTTTCAATAGAAAATCACTTTATTACACTGTAACGTCGAACTTGTTTAAGGAAGAGAAGTAAATTTTAGAGATTTAGCAGAAAAACATATTAGCTCAATACTAATTAGTAATTTTTCTTGTTAAATAATCTGAACCACTTTCTATCCAAGGATTTGCTCATAAGTTCCATTACCAAACTTCTGTTTAGTTGCTCCAGAAAAATGAACGTCTTCGTATAATTTGTTAACTTTACTCTTAAAGTAAAACATATAAAGTTTTGATTAGCTTCGAGTGTGGTGAACGTAATAATTGCGGGAAGACCTACAGGTAGGTACACTCGCCAACATTGTCTTGGGGGAGGGAAACTTCCAGAATGTTCCTTTTATTTTATATTCATTTACGTTCGTTGTCCTTTTGACATCTGCTAAATTGGTTGTCATAATTGAATTGGATGTTTTGGTAGACGATTTTCCCAGAAGCATTTTACATTTTATACTACCAACGGAATGTCATTTGAGTATTGTAACTTTGGCAGAACTCAATTTATGATTTGTCATTTCTGTATGTACATCGAAGCAAAACTTTTTTTACTTATTTACAGTGACATCAGTAAATAAGATAGTAATAAAACATGAAATGTAAATAAAATTTTGTCCAAAAATCTGCCCAGTTATACTGACCGATTGAAAATTTATAAATTAATATCGTTAAAGAACCGCCGTTAAATCTTAAATTTATCTTTTATCCATAAATTAGTCAATGGTAATATAAATTTTGTCACCAATTCTAAGAAATATTGACTTCACTATCTCTTACAAATTACCGTGTCTAGCTAGATATTCTTTGGTTTAAACCCAAACGTAATAAGGAAATTAATATATTTGGTTTGCCTACATTAAAAAAATAAATAAACAAATATTCTTTCCCATAGATAA